AAGAAATCCTCACAAGGTAGATTGTTTGCACAATTCTAGAACAAAGAAAAGAACACTCAAGAATGAATACAATTGAGCACAATAAGTGTTCTTGAAAGCAAAATGAATATTGAATGAAAAATAGGCTTGAAATGCTCAAACTTGAGGTTTGATGCTTTCTCTTTGATTCTCTCTTGATTCTAGTTGCTTGATGTTTCTTGTTATTGATCAATGGCTTCTAAGCTTGCTTAAATACACCTTGAATCACTTCTGAACGTTGGGGATGATTAGTGAAGATAATATAGTCATTTTAGTGTGAAATCAATTAATAAAATAGCTTGGAGCATGGGGGGAATCAGTACCCCTTAAGGGGAATCGGTTCCCTAAGTGTAAAATTCAAATATTTCGACCGTTGAACAGTGGGGGGAATCGATTCCCTCCGAGCATACTGGAATTCTTGGAGCTAAACCATTCAGGGGGAATCGGTTCCCTCTGAGCAATCTGGAATTTTTGGCTTTGAAATGGTTCGAAATATTTTGTAAAATCGTTTTGAAATTATTTTAAGATTAAAACTTAATTTTACACTTGAGTAAGGATTTAAAATGAACTTTGAAATACTTTGAGTAATATTTTGATATTCGATTTAATATATCGAATATGCTTAGAAAAATATTTTTCAAAATTAAAATTCTTTTAATTTAATTTGTTATATCGAAACATCAAAATGTTTTCAACAGAAAATTTGGTGAACTAGCTCCGTTGGGGTACCTTAACAGTTTTGTGTGCAAGAACAAGCAAGATTGTTTGATTCTTTTCCAAGAATCAGCCCAAATCTGATACCAATTGATAGGGAAGTGGTGGCGGATTAATGAACGTTGCTCTTGTTGAAGAATCAAACCTATAAAGCTTTAGACTCGATGAAGAACAAATGAGATGAATAGGTGAAGGTGGTGGCGGTAGCTAAGATTCTTTTAGGTGCTAGAATCAAGGTAATAAAATTAGAACAAAATAAACAAAAGATAAAGAAATTGAAAATAAAATAAGATAATAAAGAAATCAAAAGATCTCCCTTATGAAGGTGGAAGGTAACGATGATTGATGGTGTGAATGGATTTGTAGAAAATAGATGGATAAGTGTCATATCGAACCCTCATAGTCGCAATGAAAAGGAAAACTCGATAAATGGCTCTAACCAACCCTCCTAGTCACGATGAAAAGGCAAATTGGTGTGTGAAGATTAATCTCCCTCACAAGAACTTGAAAGAACTCCATGATAAAAAGCTTCGAAGGCACAAGGCAATCAACACTTGCAAAAAGGAACTCTCGTGTATTATTAATCAAAGAAATCTGATTTACAAAGTTTAGTGAAGCCTCCTTTATATAGGGGTGAGTTCTAAAGGTCCTAAATAACTAACGAATAAAATAATAACAAACTAAACTTGTCTTAACTCTAATTCCTAATAAAATAATAATAACTAAAAATAATGTTTTAACTCAACCTTAATTCCTAATAAAATAGTAATTCTAATCCTAAAAGATAATGCATCATCCTATATTAAATTATATTACAAATAATCAATATAAATATTGAAAATTTGTATTATTTACAATAATCACGTATTAATCTCGTATAAGAATTTTTGCATGCGCTGTTTTCAGTAAAATGAATGTATCTTGAGTTCCCGATATCGATTAATGCGATTCAAGATCTATTGGAAAGATAAGAGACAGAATGTTGTATCTCCATAAGACATGTCAACCCGATAACAACTGGATCCCTTTCAAAAAGTAGTTGTAAGTCTGCTGCTATTAGACCCTTACGGATGAATGCTTGAACAACAATTTGAGCTTGTCTTTAAGAAATTTGGTCCGACCTCGTGTGATAGGGTCAAGTGGTATGGTAAATTCATCATCCTTAGTTTTAGGGCGTGTGGTGCATGTATAACAAGTGAAGGAAAAAAAATCGTTTTAACAAAGCTTCATCACTGAAATTCCTCTCTTTCACGCGTAGAAACCAACGCTAAGCATGCATCTTTTTATTCAACACGAACACATGTCAAGATATGAGCTGAACTCCCCAAATCTTAATCATAATTCTTAATCATACTTGACACATTTGTTCCTTTGGGCTAATCACATCATGCATTCCAATACATAGTTGCAATTATATTATAGTAACATGTTGCATAAGGAAGCCGCATTTTTTTGAGACCACACCTACCATTTGTACTTGCAGGATTTTGTCACTTGTTTTGATTTGTTTGAGTTGGAAATTAAACTAAAAAGAAAAGTACATTTGATTACTTTGTTCTAAAGGGAATTAAAGGTATAAATCATTACTCAGCTTGTATGCTTGTGGAACTGAACCTTTTTAATAAAGCAATTTAAACAGTTGGAAATTTGAATGCTTCATTTCAATGACGAGTTTGTATTATCCAGATGGTAGCCAGGAGTGTGTGGGCCATTGTCTATTTTGTTGATTGAATCATTTTCAACCTCCATTTTAGGTGAAAATCTATGAGCTTTTTGTTCCTACCACAACTCTGAATCTTTCTCTTTAATTTTCCTTTTAAACACCATTTCTTCTCTCTTCTGGTATAAAAACTCGAACCATACATATCATTTAATGAATAGACGAGTCTTAATCAATGAAACTTGCTGTTTTAAGCTTCAATATTCAGACAAATTAGTACTATTGCATAGATAAAGTTTTGGTTAACCTCTCTTTGTAGGTTCTCTGCCCCTCTACAAGTACCATATATTAGCAGCCTTTTTTTCCCCATCTGTTGTACCCTGAAACTCATTTGGATTCCATGAATTCAGCGCAGCCAAAGATGATGCACTCGGAGCCACCATGCAGCAAGCCGAATTGTTTCTTCTGCACCATGAGCGAGCCGGACCCGTCTCAAAGAAGATCAAAGCTCGAGCAATGCTTCAAAGAGATGCCTCTCAGAGACGATGAAGAACATGTGTTGGTCTTAAGCGGGCTGTGGAACATTTCCATGACTCAACCTGATGATCCAGAGTTTCCTTCCCTTGGTATATTTGAATGCATGGCCAAGCTTATCCATAGGGCATCTCTGATCAAAACTGGCTTCTTAGAGGTCAGAACATCTATATCCCCTACTATGCCGCTCATATCATCGGTTCATATACGATGGACAACCCCAAATTTGCAGAAAAAGCTGTTCACTCAGGTGTGATTTGGCCATTAATGGAGCTTTTGAGAGGCAAGATGAGTTGGGCTGAGCAAAGAGTTGCAGTTCGAGCATTGGGTCATTTAGCAAGCCATGAAAACACATTTGAAGCTGTTGGTGTACATTAAGTGGAGGTCATAAGCTGTGGTATGGAGATAGCTAGAAATTGCCTTGAAGTTGTTTACGAGGAGTTCGTTGGAATTAAAGCTAAAGAGACCCAAATATCATTGTGATTTGCTCACAAGGGGACATGGAGGGTTGCAGTTGCAGTTAAGAAAAGCTGAGGAATGGCCAGTCAGCTTCAGTATTGGTCACTTTATCTCTTGAATTGCTTTGCATGCAAAGAAAGATCACTCGATCTGATCTGCACAAAGAGTTTCTAAACAATTTGTGTGGAATGTGGGGTGGATTACTCAATCTCACATCTCCTGCAGGCATTGGATTACTCACAACCTTTTGTTCATACAAAACAGGGAGGGAAAATGTAGCAAAGTCAAGAAGAGTGCTTGATAGTATTTGCAATGTTTCAAGATGTTCAGATGATTGGCAAAACTTGCCCATCGGTTGTCTTTTTTTTCTTCTCAAAGACCCCCAGACAAGATATCAAGTTATTGAGACTGCAGCAATGTCTCTTGTTGATTTAGCTGAACTTACAGGCCTTGGAAAAGCAATAAACTCAAGCTTTGTTGCAAGATTACTGCAAAATCAAATGTGGGTTCTTGAAGCTGAAGGGCAAGGAAGCTGAGAAAGCATTGGAAGAGCTATGGGAATTGAAGGTTGAGAAGATTAAAAGAGACAAACTTATGTCTGAACAAGAGGTGGAAGAGAGACACGTGTTGATTGGGGGAGATGAAAAAACAAGGCAACCAGAAGTTTTGGTATGCGAAAATGGAGAGAGCTTTTGGTTGGAAGTTCTACACATCTTTAATGGCAAAACTTTCGAGATAATATTTTGGAAAAAATTAATTCACGAGATAAAGCACTCCCAAGATTAATTGCTTAAATAAGGTGAAATCCACAGTGTTGGCCGTAGGTCGCTATGCCTTCCATGCGATCTACTAGGTCGCCATGTCTTCCCGGCAAGCTACAAGAGATTGCATGTGCCATGCACGTCCCAACACGCTGGGCATCCGAGGCCATCCGACCGAGGTCATCCGAACGAACTATGCGAGGGCATTCGAGGGTAACCGAGCGAGCTATGCGAGGGAAGCCGAGCGAGGGTAGGTCGCCCAGAGGGCATGGCGACCTACAAGGTCGCCCGGAGGGCATGGCGACCTATGTGTTGGGACGTGCATATGCCATGCAACACGTTCATTCTCACGTTCATTCTCTCTGTTTGAGCAAGGGTAGGTCGCCCGGAGTGCATGGCGACCTACGGCCAACACTGTGAATTTCACCCTATTTGAGCAATTAATCATGGGAGTGCATTAGCTCGTGAATTAATTTCTTTCTGAACATTATCTCGAAAGTTTTGCCCATCTTTAATATACAACTAATAAAAGGTTTTATCGATTTTATTATTATTTAAATAATAAAATTAGTAAAAATTATTTAAAATATTATTATTTATACATAAAATATTAATATCTTTTAATATTTCTGATAAAGTGATCAATAATAATAAAATCGGTAAAATATCTAACAATAATAAAATTGGTAGAAATAATAATATTTTTAGTAATTTTTTATCGATTTTATTATTTAAATAATAATAAAAATTAATAATATTTTTTTAACTGTATATTAAGATTGTGATAATTTCCCAAGCTTGTGACATATATTCAAAGGCCTTGGAATTGTGTCCTTTAAACATGGGGGAGAGAGATGATTGTTCTTTACAGCAACAGAGCACAATGTCATCTGCTACTGAAAACCCCAGCAGCTGCCATTAGTGACACGACTAGAGCTCTATGCTTATCAGGTACTGTGAGTCCTCACAGAAAAAGTTTATGGAGAAGGTCACAAGCATATGACATGAAAGGATTGGGCAAAGAGAGCTTGATGGACTGCTTAATGTTCATCAACACTCGAATGAAATCTGAGCATACGAAACGTGTCAGGATCCCTTACTACGCAGCACGGATGATCAACAAGCAGATGAATGCCGCGTTGATATTTGCTAATGCAAAGTCAAAACTTTTCATAAAAAAGGAGAGAACGGTACTTGAATCGGAGTCCAAAGGAAAATACCAGCTGCAGGAAATGATGATGATGAGATTGACGGATGCTAAGGACAAGGGTTACCTGGTAAGCCATTAGAAACAAAGATTTAAATTAAGATTACGGTTGCGTTTTGTATTTATAACGATTGCAATAATAACAGTATTACTATAATCATTGCGAATAACCTAATTATATAATAGTGATTTTAAATATATCTTTATCATTATATAGTAACTGTTATTTTAATACCGACTAATATTTAAATATCTGAAATATTTTTGCTTTATCTAAGAATGGCTTGCTCATGTTTTTACTTTGAATTTTGGCTTGATTTCTAGATATGCCAACCATTGCAGAAGACCCTAAAGCTGAAAAGAGAAGGAAGAAGAAGATGGAAAAAGCAGGCAGAAGGAGAAAAGACATCATCCGGATTGAGAGAGAATCAAGTGGTGTCGATCACAGAGTAACAGATGGAAGGAATTGAGTCTTCAATTTTCATTAGAGAAAAACAAGGGTTAGGATCAATATTGAATTTGCCAGGCTTATACAAAAAGTAGCATTTATTTGTTGATGGTAGTAGGAACTGTAGTCTTCAATTTTATGGTGTGTTCTAGACACCTCTACAACGGTAGAGAAGACGCAACAACCATTGTAACTTTGAATTTTGTCTCTTGTTAGGCTTACACAAATACAAATAAAAAGCATGATAGCATCCTCTTTTTACAAACCAATTTTCCTAAAGCAGTAACGAAGGGGGACACATTCAAATCATCGGAAGATAATGCATTTCAATTATTTACCAGGAGAGAAAATACTATGAATATACTCAATTGTTAGCAAAAGATAAATTATCAATCATTAATGTTTGTATAGAAAATAAAAGAAAGAGTGCATGTGTGACCCAACTCTATATTCTTATTTCCAGTGCATTCAAAAGAGGGATTTTACATGACAGATTACGACCTCACAAATACAAAATATATTAGAAAAACTTCAAAAAGAATATAAGGAAAATCTTTGGTGTTAACAAATCCAACTTAAAAGAAAATTTGGTATTAACAAATCCAGATTCGATGAATAAGAAACCATACCTAACCCACTAATTACAAGTTGGTAGAGAACATTAACCAAAATCTAAAACAAACTTGGTGTTGACAAAACAGCATAACGAGCACCACCTAGGAACAATGACCCAGCGGCCGTTAAAATAATTTTTCATTTCAACTGATTGTTTATTTGGATTGTAGTACAAAATAATATCTTCCTAAAAAGATTTGAAAGAACAAGTCGACCTAATTATTGAGAATTTCATACGCAAATCATCAAAAATATTTTTAGAATAAGCACACATATATATATTTTTAGGGACGATCCTACAGGGACTAAGAAATCTTCTTGATGTAGATTGTTTTTTAATATTTGATCTAGACGAAAAGCTGCAAGTAAAATAAGACGGGGTTTGTTGACATGTTTATAAAGAAAGTGATTTAATCTAAAGAAAATAAAGAAAATAATTTTTAAAGAAAAGATAAAGATTTTATGAAATTAAAATCAGTCTCATGCTTTAACTTTGCCTCAATTCCAATCGATCCTTGCATAGGATTTTACTTCGATTAAATACCGATTTTGAGTCCGCAAAGTTCAATCCTTGTAGCTTACTTTTCTCTTTGGTGATTGATTTCCCAAATTTATTTTAGAAATCTAAATCCTTGTTCAAATTAACTGCGACAATCGTTGTTAGCTCAAAATAGTTTAAAAGCGCTTAGAGAAGTCTGACTCGAATTATGTTTTTTCTATCAAAGTCGAACTCGATCCCAATTTCCTCTTAGTGTGCTATCGCTAAGTGTGTTCAAGGGAATTTGAATCAATTGATTCTATAATCCCAACGGTAAACCATCATGACATACAAGCCAAAATCTATTTTTGAAGTGAAAGCATTTTGATTTTAAGAAAGACAATCCACCAATTTAGTTTCTAGAAAAATTGAGAAATTTAACCTAAAGGGTATGAGGTGCTTTTCAATTATCACAGAATTGAGTCGTACTTTAGCCTTTGGCTATGAAAAACTTAGTTGACCATGATAGAAATCATACTCAACATTGTTTAAGAGAAAATAACATGAAAATAAAATAAGAGCAAAAAAGAAAAAGAAGAATAATTTTATAAAACTAAGAGAAGAAAAAGAACAGGTAACTAGAAATGTTTGGAATAACCAGGATGATCTCTAAGGCTTACCCCATGGGATATTTATAGTCTCCTAAAACCCTAGAAAACTACATTTGAAATAACTCAAGGTAAATCCTAAAATTATCCAAATAAAATCCAAAATAAAGATAATTCTAAATTTAAAGTTTGAACTTGCGGCTAAGTCTTCTACTTCCACGAAAATACTGACTGGACCTTCTAAAAGATGTTGATTGGATTCCACATCAGCGCTTTCATGCCCAGTTTCATGCCCACTAGATTGCCCTTGATTTTGGAAAAATTAAAAAGTGTAGAACTTCATATTTTAAGTGTCATTTCCATAATTCAAGGTCTTGCATAGAAAACAAGTAGAAACACTCAAATAAGCAATAATAATAAACAATCAAGGAGTATTTAAACACAAAATAAACACTAGTTAATTAATCACATAAAATTTTGATAAAGGATGGAACAACTAAAATTCACACGTGGATACACTAACAATGATAAATCATATATCATATTTATAGATTTTAGTTTTCATTTATTGTTGATACATGTCAACATTTTAGTTATCAATCTTATAAATTTGAGAATCTTTTATATATAATTCTAGATGTAATATCAAGTATTACATATATCTAGATTATTTTATGAATAGTTTTAGATATATCTTATTTTCATATTATTTTAAAATATTCTCAAGATATATCTCGTAAATGATAATTATATGTTTATATAACGACTTTCCAATATTGACATTTTAAATGATTAAAAGATAAAATATTTTATTTTAAAATAAATAAATAAATAAATAAATAAATAATTTGTACAAATTAATTTTAATTTGATACTATTAATTCTTCTCTATCGTTGCTTGCAACCACATGTCGATAAAACTTTTGTTTTCGTATTCGTTACATATTCAATATGACTTGACAATATATCCTGGTGCAATCCCTCTATCTTAGCTTGAGTTTATTCTCCTGCTTCCAAAATCGGATGAGACAATAATGTCGAACCTGTAATATACTTAAAATTGGCTAGAGATACCTCGTGCAAAACAAGTTGCCTATAACGGGAAGTTTTACTGTGAGGCGCCTAAAATAAGGTTAATAAACAACGTACCGGAAAAAGATAATAGGTTAAAAGCGGAGCACAAAATGTTATAAATCGTAATAAAAAAAGTTATCAGTCGGAGTAACATAACAGGTTGCACTAAAATATTATACAGGGTAATAAAATGAGTTATAATCGGTAAATGTTATATATATATATATATATATATATATATATATATATATATATATATATATATATATATATATATATATATATTAACATTTTAGGTTTCGCCTAAAAGATTACCATTAGTTTAAGCTGATGAGGCCTTAGACATTCTCATGATAAAAAAAAATAAGTTAGAAGCTAAAAATGTTATGAATATATATAAGAAATACGGTTGCGTCAAAAATGTCATGGTTCATTAAGACATAAGTTGCAATCTATAATATTAATATTTTTTTATTAATTATTTAAAAGTATTTATAGATTTTAATCATTTGATTGATTCAAATATATTATTTTAATTTTTGAAATGTATTTATTAATTAATGTTACGAAATATAGATTTGATTTAGTGATTTGATTATATGTTGATTTAATATTTGTAAATTTTAATTCTTTGATTTAGTATGCATAATTTATATATATATATATATATATATATATATATATATATATAATTTTAATATTATGTTTGATATATATTAATTAATTCAAATATAATATTTTGATTTTTTTAAAGTTGCTCACACAATTTCATCCATGAGGTCTCAGAGAACCTTTGTCCACTTACCATCGTGAAGTTACTCGCCGTATGAATTTATAGTCGGAGATATTCGCCGTCACTAAAAAATATCAATAAAAGTTTGACATTTCCTTTAAATTTACTTTATTTATTTTAGTTTCTTCTATTAGTTATTCTCTATTTTCTTTTGTAGGTCTGCAGACTATTTTGTTTTTGCATATATTTAGGTTGTGTTACAATTTTTTTTACAAATTATAGTGTTATCAAGTTATTGGAGTTTTTATAGATTAATCCCGCTGAAATCTAGGAATAGATAATGATTTTGTCATTTCTCGTATTGGGTGCAAAGCGAATTTGGAGGGGATTGGGGGTTGGGTTAATTGGTTATCGGTTGCTTTTGGGGTTAAGGGTATTAGATCTGCATTGTATATTAAATTTGGGTTGCATATTGGATCTGAGTTTTAACTAGATATATTTTTGGTTTTACTTTGATTCAAGTTTAATGAATGGATTTTTAAACCCAAACAAAAATAATGTTTATAATAGACATTTTAAGTTATCTTTTTGGCATAAATAAATCCAAGGTAGGCACAAATTAATTTTAAGATGAGTATATATATAAAAATTGAATACTTAATAAACTAATTTTAAATTCTAGGATAGGCACATACCCACCTAAAAATCATATAACTCCGCTCCTTATCATCATAACATATAGTAAAAGTCAATTTTACTTCATCAAGAGAACTAACTGCATCATCGTATGTACAACACATTAAACGTGTTGCATATTTTCAGCTTTTAATGCTCAATCCAATTAATAAATCCTTAACAGCCTTCCTGCAACAGCCAAATTAGTTAACTTAAAGCAAGGATAAGAAAAATTATAATGCTAGTAAAGAATAAAATTGTAAGTTTTTGTGGAAAAAAGATGTGAGAAAACAACCAGATTAATATAGGCTGGGTATACCAACAACATAGTCCTATTTAGATTAGTGTTTACATAGGAGTCCTACTAGTTTTCATCTTATCTAAAAACCTTATCTTAGTAGATAACTATCTCATCTCCAACGTAGATAAACCTAATCATAAAATACAACTTTAATACAAAACTAAATACATATTAAATCAGGGTACACTCTACACTCTCCTCAAGCTGGAGAGTACATGTATATTTTCAGCTTTGACATGAATCCATCAAAGCTAGTACTTGGAAGAGCTTTGGGGAGAATATCAACAAGTTATAGTTGAGTAGGGACATAACTCAGTTTGGTAGTCACATTGTTGACCTTTTCTAAGATAAAATGTCTATCAATCTCCATATGTTTGGTTCTAACATGGTGAACAAGACTCTTTGCAATTCTTAATGGTAGATTGTTTATCGCTTTGAATCTTAAACCGGTTTCTGGGGTCCTCCTTCATTTCTTTTAGCAGTATTTGAATCCACATTCCTTCTCAAATCCCTAAAGCAACTATT